TCCCCAGGAACCTGATGCAAAGGCTTTCCAATTACCTCCAGGAGAGCTTCGTGGAGATGTCCATTGAGGATTTCAGCTCTATCCCCGGACATATAGACCACATTTTACTGTAGCTGCACTGGCAGGGACTAAACAGTAGAGCGGCTTGGGCAGAACAATCATGCTAAACCGGACATTGTTAGATTTTTTTTGAATAGTTGCACTGCCCAGGACTGAAACGTTAAGCGCCTAGGGCAAACTAATCATGAGAAACCCATTGTTGTTATTGTTAATATTCCTGTTCTGTTAAAAATAAATGTTTAGATGTTTAAAACACTTATTGGATGATCCTTCCCCTGATTCTGTGTCCGGGTTAACGGCTGGGGACGGTTGGTAGGGGATCTCTGTAAGGGTGATGAAGAGATCCTGGCTGTCGGGGAAATCAGCGTTGCAAGCGCTGTCGACTGCCTCGTCCTCCTCATCTCCTTCCTCATCTTCCCCGTCCGCTAACATGTCCGAGGAACTGGCCGTTGACAATATCCCATCCTCAGAGTCCACGGTCAGTGGTGGGGTAGTGGTGGCGGCCGCACCTAGGATGGAATGCAGTGCCTCGTAGAAACGGGTTGTCTGGGGCTGGGATCCGGAGCATCCGTTTGCCTCTTTGGTCTTCTGGTAGCCTTGTCTCAGCTCCTTGATTTTCACGCGGCACTGCGTTGCATCCCGGCTGTATCCTCTCTCTGCCATGGCTTTAGAGATCTTCTCATAGATCTTTGCATTCCGTCTTTTGGAGCGCAGCTCGGAAAGCACGGACTCATCACCCCACACAGCGATGAGATCCAAGACTTCCCGATCAGTCCATGCTGGGGCCCTCTTTCTAGTCTGAGATTACACGGCCATCTCTGCTGGAGAGCTCTGCATCGTTGCCAGTGCTGCTGAGCTCGCCACGATGTCCAAACAGGAAATGAGATTCAAACTGCCCAGACAGGAAAAGGAATTCAAATTTTCCCGGGGCTTTTCCTGTGTGACTGGTCAGAGCATCCGAGCTCGGACTGCTGTCCAGAGCGTCAACAGAGTGGTGCACTGTGGGATAGCTCCCGGAGCTATTAGCGTCAATTTCCATCCACACCTAGCCTAATTCGACATGGCCATGTCGAATTTAGCGCTACTCCCCTCGTTGGGGAGGAGTACAGAAATCGAATTTAAGAGACCTCTATGTCGAACTAAATAGCTTCGTGGTGTGGACGGGTGCAGGATTAATTCGATGTAACGGCACTAAATTCGACATAAACGCCTAGTGTAGACCAGGCCTAAGTTCTTCAGCAGGACCTGTGGGGTCCTGTTGACTCTGTCTCTTCCCCCAAACAATCACCTGAACAACCATGTCCCTCCCCTTTAGCTGCTCCAGTTTGATCGTCTGGTCCTGTTTGTCTAAGCCAGGTTGGAACTAGGATGTAGAATATTCAAAGCTAATCATTGTGGCACTGTCTCTTCATAATCCTTCATGGTATACCATGTTGTGGCTCATCTTGAGCCATTCTTCTTCCCTTTCTGCTTCTTTTCCTTACAGCCTCCTATTAAAGTAAACCAACATATTAGGGCTGTCAAGTGATTTTAAAAATTAATCGTGATTAATTGCGCTGTTAAAGAATAATAGAATACCATTTATTTAAATATTTTTGATGTTTTCTTCATTTTCAAATATATTGATTTCAATTACAATGCAGAATACAAAGTGTACAGTGCTCACTTTATTTTTCATAACAAATATTTGCACTGTAAAAAAACAAAAGAAATAATATTTTTCAGTTCACCTAATACAAGTACTGTAGTGCAATCTCTTTATCATGAAAGTTGAACTTACGAATGTAGAATTATGTACCAAAAAAACCTGCATTCAAAAATAAAACAATGTAAAACTTTAGAGCCTACAAATCCAATCAGTCCTACTTCTTTTTCAGCCAATTGCTCAGACAAACAAGTTTGTTTAACATTTGGAGAGGTAAGGCTGCCTGCTTCTTGTTTTCAATGTCACGTGAAAATGAGAACAGGTGTTTGCATGGCACTGTTGTAGCCAGCGTTGCAAGATATTTACATGCCAAAGGTGCTAAATATTCATATGTCCCTTGATGCTTCAACCACCTTTCCAGGGGACGTGCGTCCATTCTGATGACGGGTTCTGCTCAATAACGATACAAAGCAGTGCGGACTGACACATGTTCATTTTCATCATCTGAGAAAGATGCCACCAGCAGAAAGTTGCATTTCTTTTTTGGTTGTTTGGGTTCTGTAGTTTCTGCATCAGAGTGTTGCTCTTTTAAGACTTCTGAAAGCATGCTCCACACCTCATCCCTCTCAGATTTGGGAAGGCACTTCAGATTCTTAAATCTTGCGTTAAGTGCTGTTAGCTTTAGAAATTTCACAATTGTATCTTCTTTGCCTTTTGTCAAATTCGCAGTGAAATTGTTCTTAAAATGAATAACATGTGCCGGGTCATCATCCAAAGCTGCTATAACATGAAATATATGGCAGAACACGGGTAAAACAGAGCAGGAGACATACAATTCTCCCCCAAGGAGTTCAGTCACAAATTTAATTAACGCATTATTTTTTTAATGAGCATCATCAGCATGGAAGCACGTCCTCTGGAATGATGGCCGAAGCATGAAGAGGCATATGAATCTTTAGCGCATCTGACACCCAGCTGCAATAGTGCCACACAAACACCTGTTCTCACTTTCAGGTGACAATGTAATTAAGAAGTGGGCAGTATTGTCTCCTGTAAATGTAAACAGACTTGTTTGTCTAAGCAATTGGCTGAACAAGAAGTAGGATTGAGTGGATTGTAGGCTCTCAAGTTTTATATTATTTTGTATTTGAGTGCAGTTATGTGACAAAAAAACTTCTTTTGTAAGTTGCACTTTCATGATAAAGAGATTGCACTACAGTACTTGTATGAGGTGAACTGAAAAATAGTATTTCTTTTGTTTATCATTTTGCAGTGCAAATATTTGTAATAAAAATAATATAAAGTGAGCACTGTGCACTTTGTATTCTGTGTTGTAATTGAAGTCAATATATTGGAAAATGTAGAAAAACATCCAAAAATATTTAATAAATTTCAGTTGGTATTCTATTGTTTAACAGTCTGATTAATCACAATTAATTTTTTGAGTTAATCATGTGAGTTAACTGCGATTAATCGACAGCCCTACAACATATTCATACAGTAAATATCCCAGTCTCCAGGACACCTGACAGTACTCATCATTATTACAGAACAGCTCCAACTCCACCACAGGGAGATTGGAGAAATAGGACTAAGGGCTTGTTTACTCTTCAAATGCTACAGCAGCACAGTCGCAGTGCTGCAGCTGCGCCACATTAGCACTTCAGTGTAGACATTAACTAGAGTAATGGGAGGGATTCTCCCATTGCCGTAATTAATCCACCTCCCCAGGAAGTGCTAGCTAGGTTGATAGAAGCATTCTTCCATTTCCGTAGTACAGTCTACACTGGGGGTTAGGTCGGCTTAATTATGTCATTCAGGGGTGTGGATTTTTAACCCCCCCAGAGCAATGGACCAGCTTAACGTTTGAGTGGCCTAAGGGACACCTGGTAAGTGGGGAGGGTGGGGTTAGTGGGGGGGAGAGGGGGTGGTTTGAGGGATCTAGAGCTGCAGGGGATCCCAGCCTGTTATGAGAGAATCCCTGCCCAGTCCTCATTGATGTATAGCCTGCACTCGCTCCCCCGTAAAGTGGGTACAAAACTGGTTGAAAGACTGTACAGTATATTAATGTGCAGCAAGGGTGATTTAGTTTAGATATTAGGAAAATAATTGTGACTACAAGGGTAATTAAACTCTGAAATCGGATTCCAAAGGAGTTTGTGAAATCCCCATCTTGGAAGCTTTTACGAACAGTTTAGACAAATACCTCTCAGGGATGGACTAGGTTTCCTTGTTCCTACCTCAGTGCATGGGCTGGATTAAATCAACTCTTGGAATCCCTTCCAGCCCCACATTTCTATGATTCTATCATTCTATAACCTTGCCCGTACGTTGTGGGATTTTCATGCTCCTTTCTATTTCACCTGACTTGCTATATTCCTTAACTTCTCAAAACGTGCTTTCCTAATCCTTAACATCCCTGACATGCTGCATTCAGTGATCTCCCCACTCCTTCCCATTCCTTATGTTGTGGAAGAATTAACCACGCGTTGTGTTTGGATCAGAACAGCCTGAGGCACCTTTATTTAACGAGCATGCCCGGGGCCACTATCAAACGGATAGTGCCCCCGAATTACAGACAGACAGGCTTATAAAGCTTAAAACTGCAATTAGTCAAACACTTTTTCATTCGTAATATCCTCTTAAACAGAAAAAACAATCCCTTATTAGGAATACAGAAGCAACAAGCTTTCCTGTTTATCATCAGATTGTACCTTTGCGGTTGGGGCTTTTCCTAATTTCTAGCTATCACAGCTATATTTCGCAAGACTGGCTATTGCAAAAGTTCTGCTGGCAATTTCCATTCTGTCTTCCCCTTCAGCCAAATCATCATTGACACAGTCATGTCAACCAAAGGTTTTGGGCCTACTAACTTTACTTCCACACTTACTATGCTGAGCCCTGCTGCACTCAGTGATCTCCCCACTCCTCCCCATTCATTATGCTGAGCCCGGCAAGCCTATGCTCACCAGTCCCAGTTCCCCTATGACTTTCTCATTCCCTTGGGGGGTCTCTGTCAGTAAGAAGCAGTTTCAAGGTGACTTCCCCTTGGCTTTCTGTAATTTGGAGTTACTTTCTCTAGGTTTCAGGAGCCCCTTTGATGAGGAGTGTGTATGCCAGCAGAGGTGGGTAGTAAATCTCCTTGTAAGCAGAGTGTCTGGTGCCTTTGAACACCCGGAGAGCTAGCTTGAGAATTTCGGTGCTTTAAAATGAGCAGGGATTAAAAAAAGGCCATATTCTTTGTGACCAAGGTCCCATGAATTCACCTGATTTCACTTATTTTCTTTCATCTCAGCAGGGTTTCCAGTCTCCAGACCTGAGGTGATGTCCCAGCTGGAACCAGGGGAAGAGCTGTGGGTCTCAGATCTCCAGGGCTCGGGGGAAAAAGAGATCCTGACAGGAACCTGCACAGGTGAGGAATCATTGGACCAACTCAAATACTATCTGTGCCTGAAGGACACAGCTGGGATTCCCTACCAGGACCTTGAGAGCTCTTTGAGTTCATGATTGTCCCTGAGCCGGTGTCATATCTTCAGAGCAGATATCGCTCATGGCTTCCTACCCATCTTGGCTGACACGTGGCAATAGTTCAGTTCCTAACCTGCCTTCATCCTGAGCATTGTGATTGGATCTCAGACAAGAGTTGATCCCCCTCCTCTTTCCCCTCTGGGAAAGAGTTTCGGGGAAGTAATTTCCTGATCTTTTCCCCCATGTCTCGAGCACTTCCTTTGGTTTCCTCTCCCCTTTTCCATCTCTTCTTTTGAGGTTTCTCTCTGTCCTTGTAGGTGATCGGATGGTGAGTCAGAACAAAGAGCAGAATCCACAGCAGGAAGATGAGGAGCACATGGAACTGCATAGGGGATTATCACAAGGAATTAAACGAAACGTGTCCCCACCAGGGGAGAAAGTGGGTAAATCCATCAGTTGTGAGGAAAATCACAAGGACCTCAAGGAAACCACAGCCCAGCAGGGAATCCTTATGGGAGAGAGAAAAAGCATATGCCCTGAGTGTGGTAAAACCTTCCCTCGACACTCACACCTTATTTTACATCAGAAAATCCACACAAGAGAGACAGCCTATGAATGCTGTGATTGCGGGAAAACGTTCACTCGACGCTCAGACCTTATCAGACACCAGAGAACCCACATGGGCGCTAACCCGTATGAATGCTGCCAGTGTGGGAAAATCTTCCCTTGGCATTCACAGCTTATTATACATCAAAGAATCCACACAGGAGAGAGACCGTATGTATGCTGTGAGTGCGGGAAAGCCTTCACGCGACGCTCACATCTTATTAGACATCAGAGAACCCACACTCAAGAGCGACCCTTTGAATGCTGTGAATGCAGGAAAACCTTCTCTCAGAGCTCAACCCTGATTAGACATCAGAGAACTCATGTTTGTGAGAGGCCCTAGGAATGTTGTGAGTATAGAAAAAACTTTTCTGTTCAATCAGCCCTTATTAATCATCAGAGATTCCAGAAAGGACAGAGACCCTGTGAATGTTGTGAGTGCGGGAAAATTTTCATTTACTACTCAGACCTTAGGAGATAATAAATGGTCCACACAGGATTGACACCTTATACATGTTCTGAGAGTGGGAAAAAAAACTTCTATCAGAGGTCACGCGTTATTTATCTTCAGTGAAGCCATAAAGGAGATAAACACCATAAATACCTTGTCTAGGGCTAACAATAAAATGTTTATTTTTCCTTTAAATTTTTTGGTATTTAGCCTGTTAGAGCCATTTACTTCATTGTGGTCCCTCTGCTCCCCCAGGTGAGTTGTCCAGTTTTGCTTTTTGCAGGTTGCCCTTCTTTGGGTGAATCCCCAAAGACCCTTTCTATCATCTGTTTTGTTCTATTAGTCACGGAAGTATGAGTCCCTCTTATTAGGAATGCACATCAGCTCCAGGTTGGTGAAATACAAATTACGTCAGTTAAT